GACGGTTCACATTGATACACAAAGGATTTATAATTGATATATAAAGATATATTATTAACAAATACAATAACCAACCATAATGCAAAATATAATAGTAAGTGCCAGACTGTTTGATTGATTTGATCCAATGATATAGGCTACATCTCCAAAAGCCTCACGAACAAATCACACAAAATTTTACTATGACAACTTAGAAGGAAGTTGACATTAATCCTTTTAAATTGAATAAAGATTCTTTTTACTAAAACAAGTAAAAAGGGAAAAAAAGTTTCAAAACAATCCAACAAAAATATATTATATAATTTAAATTTAATAATATTTTTGATAAGGTATGCATTAGTCCTTAACAAAGCTATTACCATATTTAGAAAATTTACAATTTTAAACAACTACTGAATTTATAGGATCTAAAAATTCTTAATTTAATATCAACAATCGTACAAATTTAAAATAATTCTGAACCATGAAAGTATTAATAATTTCTTACAACATTTAGCATAATTCTTTTTACGATTAAGATTTTATATATAACTTTTTCTCTCATGACAAGTAGTCCACTTTCTACTTTAAAAGCAATAATCGATAATTCACATATTTTACTGTGAATTATACAGTAGTCTTCATGCAATGACTCCACAGACCTTCTTCACGCCATGCTACATGATTGATCAGAATTGTTGACTAATCATTCAAGCTTCCAAAGTATTCTGTATAAAATTTCATCCTTGTATTTTCCCTCTCCATTTGTTTCATCGCGATTATATATACCAAGAAGGGGGGGATAAACATTTGATTTTCACCGCATGTTCGACTTATATAATTCTGTAAAATAAAGAAGAATTAAATAAACAGTGCATTAGTGATCTAACCCCTTAAACATCATTTCAAAATTCAATTTCTGGATGTAAGTATAAAAAGCATCACTTGGGGGAGAACAATTTCTTGAATGATACTCAAATTTCTTAAGGGATTAATCTCATAACTGTCAGTTGTAAGGATATATTTTAAGAAACAAAAAATAAATAAATAAACAGTGCGTTATGATTAATTTGTATAACTGACATGTTATTAATCAATAATTCTGGTATATCTTTAAAAAAATCTGATTTATCTTGGTTTTCTTCAAATTTTAATGATTAATGTAATAATGAAAATAATAAATAAAATAAGATGATTTGCCTCAGCTCTAATGACAGGTGTTCAGCTTTGTTCTTTCAAGCTTCTTGGAATGAAGTCAAGCAGGAAATCTGTAAGTTGGTGTTTGATTATTTCTTTCAGAATAAAGAGGGTATTGATCTTATTAATGCCACCGATATTGTGCTAATCCCTAAAATAGATAAGCCTAAAAGTGAAGGTTATTTTAGACTTATAGGCCTGTGTAATACTGCCTATAAAATTGTTGCCAAGATATTGATCAATAGGATGAGATGGTTGATGAACAAAATAATTTCCCCCAATTAGAGGGCTTTTATAGCTAGCAGACTTATTAATGATAATGTGGTGACTGGCCATGAGGCCTGTCATTATTTGAGGAATTAAAAAAGGGAGAATGATAGAAGGGGCCTAAAAGAACTAATTAATTTAAGTTAGATCTCAAATGTTAAACTTTAAAAATTTACAACTCAAATCTCTCAATTTTACAATTTATGATGAATTTATAATTTGTATTTTCAATTTTAACAGGAAAAGTAAATTTTTTTATTTTTCAACCATGTTAAAATTTAAAAAATAAATTACAAATTCATCACAACGTAATTAAACAATTGAGAGATTAAATTGTAAATTTTTAGAGTTTGACATTTAAGACCTAATTTGAATTAATTGATTATTTTCAAACCTCTTAATCATTCTGCCATAAGAAAACGGGGAATAATTGGAAATTTGCTTTAAAGACTGATATAAATAAAGCATATAATAGTGTTGAATGGGAATTTTTGGAGGCCATAATGTTGAGACTGGGATTTTCTGAAGATTGGGTTAAATGGCTTATGCAGCGGTTATGGTGCAAGATCGCATAGGTAGAAATTGAAGGGAGTGAAGTTAGCTAGAAGGGCTCCCATGGTATCTCATTGTTTTTGCTCTTTTTTTTTTTTTTTTTGCTTCCAGATGATGATTTATTTTTCATTAAAGGTAGTAAGGAGAATGATTTAGTTTTGAAGAAAATTCTAGAAACCTGTCGTACTGCCTCAGGTCAGAAGGTGAACTTTGACAAATCCTGTATATTTTGTCTGCAAATACCCCTTAGCACATTAGAGAGGAAGTGGAAGCAGTTTTGGGCATTCATTCCACTGATCAACCAGGGAATATTATCTTGGTTTACCTGTGATTATAGGTAGGTCAAAGACAAAGGCACTTGCATTTGTCAGAGATGAAATTGGAATGAAATTGCGAAGGGTGGAAGCAAAAAGTGTTGACTTCTGCAGGAAGATAAGTATTGATTAAAGCTGTTGCTAATTTAATTCCAAGTTAGCCAATGACATGTTTTTCTTTTCCCAAGAAGACACGTATGGAAATTGATAGATTGGTCTCTAATTTTTGGTGGGATAGTAAGGGTGATGGTACTACTGGGATCCATTGGAAGAGGTGGGATGTGATTACTAAGCCCAGGGCGGGGGGGGGGGGGGGGAATGGGGTTACGTGATTTGCAGAGCTTTAATAGAATCAAAGCACTATCATTTCTAACAAGCCACATTGGATTTTGATTGGTAGCACTCAAGTAACGCATGGAAGGAATGTTATTGTAGATCTGCATGCCAATTTAAAGCCTCCAAAACCAGCCTCAATTAACCCACAGTTTGATTTAAGCATTCAGATGAGGCAATCAATTTTAGATGTAGATTTTATTTTTTATTTTTTATTTTTTGGAATACAAGCAGCAGCATAGGCAAGGCGAGTCTTTTTAATTTAATCCACTGTAATCAGGCTCAACTTACCAACATTTAGATTCAAGAATTCAGCAATTTTTTGGGGAATACAAGCAGAATAGGCACGGGTACTCTTTAAGTTGAAAGGAAAACATATTAGATCAGGCATCAGATCATATAATTGTCATCAAGCCATATGAGTGTATTAAAAAGCATGATCAAATACAAAACAACCACCATCTATTTAAAGTAAAAATACTGTCATTTCCCTAGGACGTCACGCATCATATTTTTATAGATATCACTCAAGCATTGCAGCTCTGCATGTCAATTTCAAGCCTCCAAAACAAGCCTCAATTTACTCATATTTCCATCCAAGCTTTCAGAAGAAGCAATGAATGATACATGTAGCAACTTTTTGGGGCAGTAAGAAGCATGATATATTTCTGTACAAGTGCAGTAAGAAGCATGATATAATCCCAAACCAAAATGCATCTATATAAAATCAAAGTTCCGTCATTTCTAACAAGCCACATGCAATGCATGCAAGGAATACTGTTGCAGCTCTGTATGCCAATTTAAAGCCTCCATAATCAGCCTCAATTTAACCACACTTCGATACAAGCATTCAAATGAGGCATTCAATTTGCAATTTTTTAAGGGGCGAATACAAGAATCAGCATAGGCACAAGTAGCATAAGCTAAAAGGAATTAGTAATCCCCCTAAAAATATATTTAAACACGTTTAGATTAAGCATCAAATCATATAGTTGTCATTAAGCTTTGAATATCTGCATTAAGAATCATGATCAAATCCCAAAGCAAGGCCGTCAATATAAAATTAAAGTACCATCATTACGATAATAGGTCATATCCAATGTTGATATGTAACACACTTAAGCCATGCATGTGAGGAATATTATTGTAGGACTATATGGCAATTTAAAGCCTTCAAAATTAGCACCAATTTAACCACATTTCGATACAAGCATTCAGATGAAGCAATGAATGATACATGTAGCAGTTTTTTAGGGACTACAAGCACAAGTATAATAAAAACTAATCCCCCTAAAAATATATTTTTGCACATTTAGATTATGAATCAAATCATATAATAGTCATTGCTTAAGAAGCATAATCAAATCCAAAACCACAACCATCTATTGAAAATAAAAACACTATCATTTGTCTAAGAAGCCACATTGGATTTTGATAGATAGCACTAAAGCTATGCATGTAAGGAATATTATTCCAGCCCTACACGTCAATTTCAAGCCTTGAAAATAAACCTTAATATACCCACATTTTCGAACAAGCTTTCAGATGACGCAATAAATGATACATGTTATTTTCCTGGGGGACTACAGGCAGCAGCAGAAGCACAGATAGTATGAGCCAGAAAATATACTAATCCCCCTAAAATTATATTTTTGCACATTTAAATTAGGTATCAAATCATATAATAGTCATTGAGCCTTACAATAGTGCATTAAGAAGCATAGTCAAACTAAAAACCACAACCACCTATTGAAAATAAAAATATTGTCATTTGTCTAAGAAGCCACATATCAGAAATTTACCCACATTTCCATGCAAGCTTTCAGATGATGCAATCAATGAATACCCACATGAATTTTTGGGCAGGCTACAAGCAGTAGCATAGTAGCTGATAATCTAAGTTGAAAGGAAATATAGTTCTTCTCATTTAGATTAGACATCAAATCATATAATCATAATTAAGCCTTGAATATGTGCATTAAAAAACATGATCAAATCCCAAAGTAAAGCCATCTGCATAAAATTAAAGTACCGTCATTTCGATAACAAGGCATATCTGATTTTGTTAGATAGCTCTCAAGCAATGCATGTAAGGAATATTACTGTAGCTTTGAATGTCAATTTAAAGCCTTCATAATTAGCCTCAATTTACCCACATTTCGATGCAAGCATTCAGATGTAGCAATGGATGACACGTGTATTTCTGCATTTTTAGATTAGGAATCAAATTATATAATTGTGATTGAGCCTTGTATGAGTCCAGTAAAAAGCATGATCAAATCCCAAAGCAAAACCATCTATTAAAAATCAAAACGCTGTCATTTTTCTAAGAAGCCACACATCCGATTTTCATAGATATCACTCAAATCCAAGCAAGTAAGGAATATTATTGCTTAGAAAATTTATACTCAAATTGGAATTTGTAACAAACGGACAGAATATAAATTCTAAAAGGAAAGGAATTGAAAAATTCCGCTGTCACAACTAACATTGTGTTTCTTTTGCTTTCGAGACTTTTCTTCCTCACTGTTTTCCCATTTCAATTTTTATTTTTTGAAAAAACGTTGGTTATTGAACAGGTACAGAAATATAAGCATTTAGCTCACAGCAGAAGTTATAGAAAACTGGATTTAAATCAAAGGGCAAACAATTTGGTAGTACTCCCCAAGCACTTCCAGAATTACTAATACTGATGAAGTGAAATGATTGGTCTCCGATCTTTTTTCATTCATACTGCTTTCTGACTTTTCTCTCCAGCTGAAATAGTTGATAACTTCTTGTATGCTCTGCTAAAAAGGATGGCTCATAGGAAGTAGCACAATTCAGTGAAGGTTGATATCTAAAAGTAACAAACTGAGACAAAAAATAAGGTTACTGCAATACCTTAAAAGCAAATTCATAATAACCACCAATAATCACCTACAGATAGACATTCAAAATAATGAATGGAGTTAAAAAAAAAATCGAACAAAAATAGTAAATATGAAGAAATTTAACTCACCCCTGAGTTTCTCTGTTCACTCTAAAAAACCAAGCTATTTATATCCCTGATTATTACAGTAACCACTAAACAAGTTTCAATTACTTTCAAAATAAAGAAAATATACCAAGGTGACATTCCAGGCCTCTTTCAAAGTTTGACCATGGTGAAATAGAAATGAATAAACGCAAAACAGAATTAAAACCAGACACTGATGCAAAAGTCAAGAAAGGCACAACAAATAGGAAAAAAAATTATAAAAACACATAAATAAAATAATATAAAAGAGCGGCAATGCATAAATCTGAAACGGGCCTTGTTAACTCAAAGATCCACATCAGTTAGAAGATGTACCAAATTGATCAGTAATTATCATAACAGTCACCTCGAGCTGATTCACCTTTATGTACTCCCAGATAAGCCTCAAAGAAGCATTGTACTAATTCCCCTCCACTAATGGCAAAAAAGTTAGCGAAGACAATTCAGTACGAAATAAATTACCAATGTGTACCTTTAGTGCACATAAGTAGCGTATTGATTCCCTTTGTGTTCTGACTGACCTTTATTTACTCCAACATATATTGACCTTTATGTACTGATTCCCTTCCAGTATTGCCAAAGATGTTAGCATGCGTATCCGTGATGGTCATGGGCAGGATCGAGCCAACTAGGATAATTGGGCCAGTGAACAACCTTACTTCCACATTTCAGCCCCACCTCTAAGGTAGCCATATTACTGCTCTTCAATTCCTTTAGAATTTTAATTCTTTGCAGCATAATCCATCGAACGTCATGAATAACCTCCTCACCATCTATATCTGCATGGAGGACTCAAAACACAACATCCAAATCTAAGCTGATGAAGAGAAGGACCCTATCAATCAAAGTCAATTTCAAAGATTTATACATGATAAATGATAAATCTGTTAAAAGCACAAGACTTAATATAGCCACAACTGCACAACTATATGATATGTGGGTGGAACTAATACCAATACTCACTTCATCCTTGATGAAAAGCAATTTTAAGAGATTTTAGGCCTTGCAGTTCTGGTAGAGGAATGTCCAATACTTCATAATATAAAATATCAGAAGTCTAGAAACAAAATCAAAAGGCAAGAATTTAGCATATCAAAGCCTGAGAACAAAAACAAAGAGTTAGTCGAAACAAAAATAAGAGGGCAGGGTAAGATACATAAGTAAGCAATGCCACAAAAAAAGGGGAGGGGGAAAAAAGAGAAGGAAAAAAGAAAATATTGATAGCATACGCAAAATGCGTAAAGAAATATTATCAAAGAAACAAAAAGGGGGGGGGGGGGAGTAGAGAAACAGCAAGTCACCAATCCATATAAAAAAAAAAAAAAAACTGTACCTGGTTGACATCAATGTGGGCCTCTTGTTGACGATTTCGCACATAACATGATGTTCAAATATAATTTCCTGAATGTACATCACAAACATAAGCAATATTTCTCTCTCTTGGCGCTTTGATACTGCGCACATTAGGACATTATGCCAGAGATGAAAGGGAATTTGACTAGCCTCAAAAGAGTTCAATTGCTTCTTCAGGAGGAAATCCAGACATCTCATTTAGTTTGGTTAATATATCCACAGGCTTCCCAAACCTCTTCACAAAAGGTCTCCCGACACATCCGAGGAAACCAAAATAGGAAACTTCAAGTAATTGACTATTATGTAAACTGAAACAAAAAAGGGAGAGAAAGTAAAGCTCTTCTTTTGCGAGGTGATAAAGTTTAAAGAATTGAAAGGACTCGTCCTTAGACCTCGCCGGCAGAGGAATAGGGCGCAAATCTAATTCATTGCGCAAGTCATAACAAACAAACAAGTCAATCTCAGTTAGAAGTCATAAAGGTGAAAATTTCATACCCAAGAAATTCTCGCGGCTGAAACATTACACGTGTTCGATTGGCTGCACCTGAGCCATCGTGTGCTCCTTCCTCTTCTCCCCTCGATGTTGGCGTAAAGACATGGGCTTTGGGGTTTGCAGGGCGCGCGAAAATCACAAGTTTTTAATGGTGGTGCCTGTTGTTGTCGGTGCCCTGAATCAGTTCTAAATAGAAAGTAGAAACAGAGGGTCGCGTGAAAATCACATCTTTTTGGCGGTCCTGACATTTTGTTTTTCTAATATACGGCGGTTCTGGTGTTTTTTATAAGCAGCTGGTATTTTTTTTTTTTCTGTTTTTTTTCACTTATTTTAACTACGATCTAATAAATAGATGGTCGCGTGAAAATCACAATTTTCTGGCGGTTCAGATATATTTTTAACATATGTAAGGCAGTTCTGGCTTTTTTTTTTTTTCATCAGCGCAGCTGGCATTTTCTTTTCTTTTTCCAAGGCAAAAATATTTTTTTTTTCAATTTTCAACTTAATTCCAAATCAAAATCTGGCCAAAACATAAATTTTCAATTCACATCTCTTAAAGCAATATTTTCGTTGAATAATGAAAGTAGTATTCTTCCCTTTTAAAAATTAAATGCTCATCTTAAAAAAAAAGACTTTAAAATAATATTCAAAATAATAAAATTTCACAGTATTGAATAGTGTTATCTTTAAAAATATATTAATTATTTATTTAAAAAACTATGATCCATATTATGAAGGCAGAGTGTTGCTTGAATAGTATCGGTGAGATAACATTTTACTTATTCTCCAAAGTATCTTCACGGTTAATATCGACGAGATTAATCACTCAAAAATTTAAATACAATTTAAAGGGTCATACTCTTTTAAATGTTGCTTTTCGTACAGAGAATCAAACTTTGGGAATATATTTGTATATATAAACAAATTATACTTTTTTTTGTCACATTTTTTAATCTTAAACCTTTTTTGTTTATAAAATATTATTTTCTGCCTGAATGGGAGACAATAGTATTGAAACCAGTTTATTTTCTTCGTTGGTGCAATTGAAAGGGAAAATTATCATTTCATAATTCAGGAGATTTTATTGTCATTTTTTCAAAAATACATGTGTATATACCTGTACATATGCACATGTGCGCGCGCGCACATTACTTACTATAAGCCAAGCCCCGCACATTATCGACATCGGGTAGTGGAGGCTTCCAGTGCTCATGGTCATTTGGTCAAAATGAAAAAAAAAAAACCAAAAACAAAAGCAAAAACAAAAGTGTTCATGTTCACATGTGGCTAACATGTATTGAAAAGAAGAATTTGGTAATTGAGTGGATAAGATAATTTAATATAATTTTTTGTTAAGAATTTATTTGGATGAGATTTTTTTATTCATTTTCATTTCTATCACATAAAAAAGACAGCTCTTCTTTCTAATAGCTTATTTGCTGGGTACTAACAACTCACGGCTCATCTTCCTAAGCATGCGGCAGATTATAACTAGAGTTTCACTGTGATGGATGTTGCAGTTATGAGTATTTTGCTACATATTGTTTAATTTTTATGCAAATAATTAAGTAGTTTTCTTTTTTGGTGGTCAAAAGTTGAATAGTGTCTTTAATGTCCTCCTCCTTGCATGAAAATTGATTATCATTGCCAACAATTGCCCGCCACTCCGAAAGTCAGAAATAGAGTATTATGCCATGTTGGCAAAAGTTGGAGTTCACCATTACATTGGAAGTAAGTTCTTGATTGCAAAACTTTTATCTCCTAATTGTCAGTGAACTGTTATGTGTTTTGAAGGTGTTTCCATTTGCTTGTTTGGTTGACCTTGGTCTATTTTTTTTATATTTGGCAAAAAGATTGACCTTTTCTGTACTTCTGGGATGTAGAGATCATTGGAGAGTATGTAGAACCATTTACAATATATATGTGTGAAGGTTAATAACAACATTGCTAGCTATTGAACCCTTACTCCAATTTCACTTGATTGTACTCAAGGTTCATACGACCATGCTTGAGCATGCTAGCTTGAAAATAGCTGGCTGTTCTTTTTTTCTGTTACTCCAGGGGACAATTGAATTTTTTTTTTCCACGTGCCCTAATGAATCCTGATGCTCTTGTACGGTGATGCTAAAAGACTGATTTATTTAAATGCACTAACGTGTGAGCTGAGAGCAGATTTACATTGTCTAGATTAACTATTCAGGGTTCTAATTAAAAGGATGCAGACTCAGTTTTAGATATCTTCTCAAGTGAGTGAATGAGAAGGTGCCCTCTCAAGTGGAGATAGAAACAGACAATGTTGTTTCGTTGTGTTGCTGGCTTACTGCCCTAGTGTTTCTTTATACGTTTTGATGTATCCTGTGTGAAGGGACATAAACATAAATGAATTCCGAATGTTTCTGTTCAATTAAAACACCTCTAAACAAGGTTTTCCTGTTGATAACAGACAACGTTGATTTGGGCACCGCATGCGGCAAACATTTCAGAGTGTGCTGTCTCAGCATTATTGATCCTGGTAAAAATGATAATATATACAATATAAATTACAAAGTTACATATCTAGTCCAGCAAAAGACGATCAAATACAACTTAAGACTATCTGAATATCCACAATCAACTCAATTAAAAGACGAAAGATGAAGGTGTAGAGACCTTCGATTTTGGCGAAGCTATAAGCATGAGTAATTTAATGTGTTCATATATATATATATATATATATATATATATCTAAGGTAAAAAAGTAAATTGATCCTTAAACTATATCAAGATTTTAAACTCATTTTTTTAAATTTTTTTAAAATGGTGCAATATGGCCACTAACTTTAACAAAAGTTAACTTTAACAGTTAGTTAATTAGAAAATTATAAAAAAAACTAAAAATTATAAAATATGACCAATAAATTTTTTAGTCCTTTTCCGTAATTTTTTCAGTCTTTATATATAATTTTTGATATTATTTTCTGTAATTTTTTAAGTCCTTTTCTATTATATTCTAATAAACTAATGATTAAAGTTATTTTTTTAACCCTAAGGGCTAGATTACATATTTCAAAAGTTAAAAGAAAACATTATACTATAAATAAGTTTAACTCGTTGACAATATGAGAGTAACAAATTTTGAATGAATCATGAAGTATTATGGAAATTAAAAAGCGCACTCGTGGGAAAAAAAAAATGCTTACCCCATTGATGCATAACACTAAAATCATAATACTTATGAATCTTAATTATTTCTATATAATGACTTTTTTCAAAATATTGAAATAAATTAACACACATAGTATTATGATTTTTTTCAATTTATTGAAATAAACAAATTCAATTTAATATGTTTATTTGTTTCAATATGTTTATTGTCATAAAAAGAAAAATGAGACTATTTATTCTAGCGTAGAAATTTTGAAACGGGCCATTGATATTAATGGTCTTGATTGGGGGGGGGGGGGACGGAAAGATTACTCAATAGGTTCTAAACAATTTTTTTTAATTTTAAATTAGATTCTTATAGTTTATTTTTTAATTAAAATCTTATAGTTTGATCAATTAAATATGTTAATTCTTAAAGGTTAAAATCCTTAAATTTTTCCTTTCAAACAAGAAAAATTTAAAAAAATTATATTTTTAATTATATAGTTTTTACTACTCAAAATTTATATAATTATGTTACTAAATAATTTTTTACATATGAAATTTTCATAAAAAATAATAAAAATGTAAACATGGTATTAAATCATGTTTTATTTTTCCTTTAAAAAATAAAATTACAAAAAAAATTATATTTTTAATTACATAATTTTTATTACTCAAAATTTATATAATTAATTTATTTCTTCTAAACGATCTTTTACATATATAATTTTCATAAAATTTAATAAAAATGTAAACATGGTATTAAATCATTGTTTCTTTTTCCTTTTTGGCCCAAAAGTACTATAAAATCAAGTTTTCTATAAATTTTAAAAGTATTTTTGTTTTGGGATAGTTAATTATTCATTAATAATTTTAAATTTTAAGAATTAGCCTATTTAATTGATCAAACTATGAGGACTTGAGTAAAACTAAATAAAATAGGAATTTATGAGAAAAATTAGAAGTACCTAAAGATAATAAATGAATGTAGAAGGAAGCGTCTAGCATCACTCTTTTCTTTTCTTGAATTCTATTGATTCGTGTTTTTTCTTCTTATTCAATTGATGCGTCGGCTCTTCTGTATGATAAACAAATTAATAATTACAGAGGTAATATCCACGAAAATCCATACCATGAGCAAAATGTAATAGTTATAAAAATAATTATGGAGAAAAAGAATACAACAATGAAAAAAAAATGTAATAACATGCCTTTTATGATTTCTTTGATGTGCCTGTAATGAACAAATGGTTATGGCTTGTTCTTCTGCTAAGACAGAGTATTGCGCCATGGCTACCACTGTTAGTGAGCTCCAATGGCAATGTTGATTATTCTGAGATGTGTTTTAT